TCTGTTGTTTGTCAGCCTCTCCTGACAAATTCCAAGGGCTGTCCCATAGGATCCTAGTGAATGCAGGCTGGAAGGGATCTCAGGAGGGCTCTAGTGCATCACCACCACCCCAGGCTGGAGGAGGACCCATTCCTGGGGAAACAGGAATACTGTGTCAGGAGCAGGGAACAGGGAAAGAGAGGAGAGCTCTGAGCCTTTTTATCATCTCTTGTATCGACTTTGCAATCAAAAACAGCAGCTCTCCACTCCGGCCCCTGGTTACAAAGCAAATTGTCAGCAGCCAGGGAAGCAAGGGACAAAGTCTCAGCAGATGAGAGCTGGGAAAGCTTCTGAGTCACTGTCAAAAATCTCATCTGCAGCCAGAGCAAATCCAGCCCCGTGCTCTGCCCAAGCGAGTCCTGATGCCTGGATTTATGGACACAGTTCCCACTCCATTAATGAGCTCTGGAGAGCGTCTGCTGCCAGATTTGTTACAGATGGGGGGGGGGAAATATCATTCTGAGGAATCCCCCAGCTGGACATAAATATTTAGCATCAGCTGCTCAGTATTCCCCTGACCTGAATAAATCTCTGTTGTTTTCCCTGCCTTCAAATAAAAGGTCCATAATCAGGATCACTCCACTCACTTAATCTTTGTGGGGACAGCTGGTTTGGGTCTCTGTGCAGCCCCCACATCCCTTCATCTCTGCCAGAAAAGCTGTTTCAGGCCAGATCATCTCTGGGAGGCAAACTGGGCTCAGCCCAACAGGGTTCATGTGAAGGCTGGAGCTGCTCAGCAGCTCAAACAGAGCCTGCTCCTGGGTCCTCCAGCTTGGAGCAGGTTTTTCCTGAGCCCCTTGGCAAACCCTGCCTTTTAGACCCCAAAACCAGCTGCTTGGGCTCAGGTTGAACACCTTTCTCATCCAGTATTTCAGGACCAGTAGAAGCTGCAAGTAAGATACAGAATCACAGCATGGTTTGGGTTGGAAGGGACATTAAAAACCATCCAGTGCCACCCCCTGCCATGGGCAGGGACACCTTCCACCATCCCAGGTTGCTCCAGCCTGGCCTTGGACACTTCCAGGGATCCAGGGGCAGCCACAGCTTCTCTGGGCAACCTGTGCCAGGGCCTCCCTGCCCTCACAGCCAAGAATTCCTTCCCAATATCTCACCCAAACCTGCCCTCTGGCAGTGGGAAGCCATTCCCTGTGTCCTGTCCCTCCACCCCTTGTCCCAGGTCCCTCTCCAGCTCTCCTGGAGCCCCTTCAGGCACGGGAAGTTTGTATCTTTGGCTTTCCTGAGCCCATGCAAATTTTTGGCATTCATTAATGACGTGAAGGGCAACATCCACTTCAGCATGTTTGCAACTTCCCCCCTGGTTATTGAGTTAAATGACCTCTAGTTTGTGCATTATGGAAATGACCAGATTTACTCTCTTTACACCTCTGTCTCTTTTTAAGCCTAAAATGTCTGTGCCAGCCCAGTGATGCCTTTCCCAGCTCCTCCAGCCAGTTGTGCACTGGAGCCATGCAAAGCCCATTTCCATTCCCTTTGGCCAAGGCCCTGCAGACAAAGCAGGGAATTGTCCCCAGGAAGGCTCATGTTTGCATGCAAGGGGCAGACCACGGGGACTGAAAGAATCGAGGCTGAAAAGCCCTGGCACAGGCTGTGGGAGATGTACATTGAAAGTCACCTCAACTGAGTTCAGCCATCAGGGGGACAAACATAACTGTGACATTTTAAAAACTGTGGGAGAGATTTAAGAAATATTTGTTAAAAATCTACGCTTTTTTTTATTTTAATTGTCATCCACCATAAGGGCAAAAAAAGAAAATGGAATTTTTTGCTGCTGTTTTTGGTTATGTTTGACTCTAAAGGTATATTTTAATGGATAAGTAAGGTACCAAGAAGAGGTTATTCACACTTTCATGTTCAGTGAAGGGAGAGAAAAGTGTCACCAGCAGGTGAACCAGAGCTCCTTATTGACCACAGAGTTTTACCACTAGTAGCTCTGTAAAGTACTTTAAGTCGGGTGGGGAGACTTGCCCCTACCTCTGCTTCTTACCTGAGTCCTTGGAGAAGCCACCATGGCCTTTCTCTGGCCACAGTGACTGGAGAAATACTTTGCAGAGCTGGGTCTTCATGTATCTCTTGTAATTCCAGTGCCTCCTCTGCCTGGGCCGTTCCCCTGTGCCACAGGAGTGTTAAAAGGAGCAAAGCAGATTCCAGCATGTGCTGAGATGGGGAGACCTAATTCAACGCTGAGGCAACCACAGTTCAGCTCTTATACAACTTTATTGTACTTCAGCACAAAGAATCACCTCTGCTTAGCTCCACATCCCGGATTTCCCCCCCCCCCCTTCAGCCTTTCCATCCAGCTCCTGCTTTTGGCATCCGCTCTGGGCTTTTTCCTGCTCTTTGATCATCCCTTTCCCACGTGGAGGTGGGTGGGCAGGATCCCCTGTTCCGTGCTGCTGGGGCGGGTCCTGCAAACAGGGGCTGCCAGGCTCCTCTGGGGGGCTCGGAGGAGCACTGCAAACACCGAAAACAGGCTTTGTCCCCAGAGCAGGGAGCACAAAGGCTGCTGGCCACGGCCCAGCCCTGCCTCCGAGTGCCCCTTCTGCTGACAGTGATGGGAACCGGGCGGGGAGACCCCTCAGACTGTCAGTGACCTGTGTTAGACCCCACTTAAACCATCAATAACCAGTGTTAGATCCCCTCAGACTGTCAGTGACCAGTGTTAGACCCTGCTCAGACCGTCAATAACTAGTGTTAGACCCCACTTAGACCATCAATAACCAGTGTTAGACCCTGCTCAGACTGTCACTGACCAGTGTTAGACCCCCTCAGACTCTGAATAACCAGTGTTAGACCCCCTCAGATCATCAATAACCAGTGTTAGA